GAGCAATACTGGATCCTAAACTCCCTTGAGGTTCTCTAGCCATTATCAATTAGAGGATAAATAACCCCTCTAAGACCAGGTCGTTGATATTCTCTTAAGAACTTGATATTTGTTTTTTTTTAACCACACATAGCAATTGCTTTGTCCATTTTGAATTATTTTATTGGCCTTGGAACCCCTGCTAACAATTGCAAGACTAGTTAAAGGAAGGGTGGGTTTGTAAGCAGACATACATAGATAGTGTAGAAAACCACTCTTTCTTAGCTACAATCTTACTGCACTGTTTACTAATGGCACATTGCGGCATTCTGACTTTGAAAGTCTTTGTTTCTTCCTCCCAGTGCTGATGCTGCTAAAAAAAACAAACACCTTCTAGCATGTCAGAGGGTGAGGAGGAAAAATGGGATAGGCAGGTATAAAAAGATTTTATAAAAAGCTTATTCTGAGGCTCTGCTTACTACATAACATGGTCTGCTATATGATTATATTTATATACTAGCTGCCCTCTGCCATGCATTGCTGTGGCCTTGTCTGTTTATATGTGTTTTATGTGTGTATATATGTGGCTTTGTGCATGCATTGTACTGTACACGTCTTCTGGTGTGTTTTTCAGTGTTTTTATGAGTGATGGTCACTTGTTGGCCCAACAGATGTATTGTATCCAAATTTGGTGTCAATTCGTCCAGTGGGTTTTGAGTTATGTTAATCCCACAGACGAACATTACATTGTATTGTTGAAGGCTTCCATGGCTGGAATCACTGGGTTGTTGTAGGTTTTTTCGGGCTATATGGCCATGTTCTAGAAGCATTCTCTCCTGACGTTTCGCCTGCATCTGTGGCAAGCATCCTCAGAGCTTGGGAGGTCTCACAACATCTGAGGATGCTTGCCATAGATGCAGGTGAAACGTCAGGAGAGAATGCTTCTAGAAAATGGCCATATAACCCGAAAAAACCTACAACATTCCAGAACATTACCTTTTTATTTATATAGATTCCCATGTCTACACTGTCTACTGTGGCATTTATAGCCAACCCCCATTTAAAGGAGGAAACCACGCATAAAAAAACATTTTTTGACCTAAGACAGCAACTCCCTAGGAATCTTTAGGTCCTATATCACAAATCTATGGTCCACTTCCATTGGAAATTGACCTTAGAAATGCACTGGAGAACATACAGATTCCTAGAGAAGTGTTCTCTCTAGGAATTTCTAGTTTCTCCAGCATGACTCAGGCACACTTTGTCCTTAGACTTGCCTGGAAGACAAGATAGATATTAATCCAAACTCCAATTTCGTAAAAGTGAAAACTGCAAAAATGCGGAGGGCCAACTGTTTTTGAAAAGGGACCCCACTTTCAAGTCCTCTGCATTTTGTATTGGTAAGAGAGTCAGAGTTTTGAAGAAATTGTGGTTAGGAAAGGACCACTGACCATACTAAGTGGGGGACTCTGGGAAGTGTAATACAACAAATGTTCCTTTCCCAAAATTCGGGCCAAAGGTTTAAAAGTTTGTGAAGTATTCAGCACTTTGGTTTCATTTTAAAGCTAAAGCTGCAAGAGCGGAGAGTGTCACAAGTGCTGCAGATAAAGAGGGAGAAACCCATTTGGCAAATGGCTGATAAGAAGTGTGGCATCTGGGAAATGTGGCTAAACGGGGTTTATTTATACCTTCCTTGGCAGAATCTAAAGCTTTTAGACTTGGAGGCTACACTTCTGGCTCACGCGAAGTAGGGGGTCCTTTTTTATCTTAAGGCTGTGTCCTCTCTCGTCTTCTCCCAGGTTGGCCTATCATCACTCTGTCTTCACAGTGCAATGTACTCGCTATTTTTAAGTTTTCCCTCCCCCTTGAACCCTGTTGCAGGGTAAATATGTTGTTGTTATTTTGATGACAGTTCTGGTTTACCAGAGTGTTTCGTTTTGATTGGAACGGACTGTGATGGAATAGAGCCAAACATGCCCAAATGTCAAACATTGTCCTGAATTTTCACTCTACATTTATGTATTTATTTATTTACTGCATTTGTTGACCGCCGTTCTCAGCCCTAGGGCGACTCACGGCGGTGTACAACATATAAAAACAGTTTACAATAGGCAATATCACAACAAAATCAACATAACTATCAATGATACAATTACACTAAATCATCCGCGCCGTCTCATCGTAGAATCATAAACCAAACTCGTTATCCATATTCCGTTCCGATCATCATTGCCAATTGTTGTAGCACTTAGTCAAACGCCTTCTCAAATAACCATGTCTTTAGGCTCTTGCGGAATGCCATAAGGGAGGGCGCCTGTCTGATATCTACAGGGAGGGTGTTCCACAGCCGGGGGGCCACCACCGAGAAGGCCCTATCTCTCGTCCCCGCCAGACGTGCCTGTGAGGCAGGCGGGATCGAGAGAAGGGCCTCCCCAGACGATCTCAAGGTCCTCGTGGGCTCATAGGCCGAGATGCGGTCAGCAAGGTATTTTGGGCCGGAACCGTTTAGGGCTTTGTAGGCCAGCACCAGCACCTTGAATTGGGCCCGGTAGCAGATCGGCAGCCAATGGAGTTGGAACAACAAGGGCGTTGTATGCTCCCTGCGTCCCGCTCCTGTTAGTAACATGGCTGCCGCGCGTATCATAATCAGAAAACAATTTTCCAATATCATAATCAGAAAACAACATTTATTTAACAAAACATGTTGAGTACCTGGAAATTTGAAATGTTTCAAAAATTGTCCAAAATTGAGATCGTTGGTTTTCTGATGGTCCAGTGTACACTTTGTTTCATGCATACCATTACTGAAAATATTGTGGGCTGTGCTTATAAGATAAATACAAATGGCTGTGCTTATAAGATAAATACAAATGAAATTGGTGTTTTGATTTGGATCCTATCTTCAAGATACCTCATTTATATTTTTTATCATGTCAGAAACGACTTGAGAAACTACAAGTAGCTTCTGGTGTGAGAGAATTGGCCGTCTGCAGAGACGTTGCCCAGGGGACTCCCAGATGTGTTACCATCCTGTGGGAGGCTTTTCTCATGTCCCTGTATGGGAAGCTGGAGCTGACAGATGAGAGCTCACCCTGTCTCGCGGATTCGAACTGCCAACCTTCAGGTCAGCAGTTCAGCCATCACAAAGGTTTAACCTGGTGGTTCTTAATCAGTCAGCCACAGACCACCAGTGGGCCGCAAGGATGAAAATCTGGTTCGCGAGCATCCTTCCTCTTTATTTATTTTACGTATTTTATTTTTGCTCTTTTCACGCTGCCTGCCACTTCTTCCCTGTCGCTGACCATGGCATATGTTCTGTATCAGAAACTAGAGCTGATGTGGTCAATCCAATGCAATTTTCTGAATCAGCACCCCAAACCGGATCTAAAGTTGACCAAAAACTGATTCATAACCCTTTTGGTACTAATGTTGGAGAGTGGTCCCTGGTCAAGTAGTTCCTTGTCAAAGTGGTCCCTGGACAAAAAAAGGCTGGGAACCACTGGTTTAACCCATTGTGCCACCACAGCCCTATTTATGTGTATGCAAATACAATATTCCAAAATGTTTTTAAAATCCCAGATCCAAAACACTTCTGGTTCCAAACTGTTTGGCTAAGGAATACTCCGCCTGTACACATCAGAAGCCTTACTCCAACTTGGCATCCTTTAGAGGTATTAAATCATTGCTTTTGGGGATGTTGGTTATTGTAGTTCAACTGAGCTGGAAGATATCAAATTGGATAAGATGGATATACTCGCTGTCTTAAAGGCAAGTTATATTGAGTTTGAATGACAGGTCTTTCCTGGTAATGGTCCCTGCCGTATGAGACTCCCTTTCATGGCATGTGCCGTTGGCCCTTTCAATTACACCTTTAAAATGAACTTTTGTTACTTACTTACTTAGGCGATCCCTCTTTGTCCGAGTATAATGGCCTTCCAAGTGTAGTGTCTTGGCGGTGGATATGTAGATGACTGTGGAACCCTATTCTTGATCCGCATCTTTTTCCACGGTGAAGACATCCATTTCCAGATGGAAGATGGTCCTGTTCAGGGTTGGCTTGACATGTCTTCCTCTTGGCATGTTTCTCCCTTTCTCACTCCATTCATTCCTCTTTGAATTCTGCAGCACTGCTGGTCATAGTTGACCACCAGTTGTAAGGCTCAAGGGCCAGGGCTTCCAAGTTTTTAAGATTTTGTATAATTGTCTTTGGGAGCCCCCTGTGGCACAGTGGGTTAAAGCACTGAGCTACTGAGCTTGTTGACCGAAAGGTCGCAGGTTTGAATCCGGGGAGTGGCGTGAGTTTCCACTGTCAGCCCCAGCTTCTGCCAACCTAGCAGTTCGAAAACATGCAAATGTGAGTGGATCTGGCGGGAAGGTAATGGTGCTCCATGCAGTCATGCTGGCCACATGACCTTGGAGGTGTCTATGGAAAATGCCGCTCTTTGGCTTAGAAATGGAGATGAGCACCACACCCCAGAGTCGGCCACGACTGGACTTAATGTCAGGGGAAAACCTTTACCTTTTTCCTATAATTGTCTTTGCATGATTTCCTGACTGAGGATAAAGGGAATTGTTGGGTAACATGCAGAATGACAGTTTGGGAAGGATATTTCCCTGTGAAAGACGGTCTCTTCTTATATCAATCTTCCCAAATCTTAAGAACATCAGGAGTGGGCTTTCTTTCACTGGAAATTTGTTTGGAGAGCATATTAGAGTACTAGTTTGATCAGGACTCCTTGCGTGTTTGCATTAGATTGTAGAACTTGCATAAGTTGCCCTTTTTTTTGGAGTACTGCTAAAGATTCCCACAACTGGATTTGAACTTTTCATGATTTTGTTTTTCATAAGTGAATTTAGAACCAAACTTAAGACATGACAAAGGAAGACCTCAGTGGGATCCTCATGGAAACATTGCCTGATGTTTTGAGTTGTGTTCTTTAGTGTGGGATCTGTAAGTGACCTGTGCCTAACTGTTGCTCTCTTTTCCCCTCTTTCTGCCTCTCTTTGATGCTACCCTGCAGGCCTATGAACTTTCCACCCTAACGGGGACGCAAGTATTGTTGCTCGTGGCCAGCGAGACGGGCCACGTGTACACGTTCGCCACGCGGAAGCTGCAACCCATGATCACCAGCGAGACGGGGAAAGCACTGATCCAGACATGCTTGAACTCTCCCGACTCCCCTCCTCGGTCGGACCCGACCACGGATCAGCGCATGAGCGCAACGGGCTTTGAGGAGACAGACCTCACTTACCAGGTGTCCGAATCGGATAGCAGTGGAGAAACAAAGGTAAATCTTCTCCTTGCCTCCATGATTCTGTCTGTGGCAGGCTTGTTGAGATTATTTTGATGGATTTCAGGAAGGAATAGGTAGGTGTTGTGCTCTGTGACGTTCTACCGCCTATTGTATTGCTCCCAGCTTGAAAATCCTTAGTCTCTGTGTGGTACAATAATAAGCTATATTGGCTCTTTTCTTGCTATGGAACAGTGGCATATCAGTATCACTCAATCTTCTTACAGGCCTGCGTGATTCAAGTCAATTCTCAAAGCAGTACCAATCTTCTGATGCTTCAGCTGTATAAATAAGAGCTAAGGGCATAGATAGAAGTTGGGTGAAGTTGTATGTAAGTTCACTGATGGGGGCACAAGGGTTGCAAATCTCTTTTATATACTCTCTAGTATGGGTTCCCTTTTTTGTGTTGTATGATTTGTATATTACAGTATCTTCTTATATGAGTTGTTTTGAGTTTGGGGGACAATAGGCCTTTCTATAAACCTTTCAGCTTTCAGAAATCTGCCTGAATGGAAAATGGAGGATGACCTTTTTTGGTGGCTGCTCCCAGGCTTTGTAATATTTTCCAAAGCAAAGTCAGGATGGTTTTTACTTCATTCTCCTTCTGCCAGTGACTATCAATACTCCTGTTCTAGTAGGTCTTTAAGTATTGTCTGTAGGGACTTTCAATATTTTTCTGATTTTTTGGATTTTTTTGTTGATTTGTTTCAAATGGTTTTCCTTGTCTAGATCATTACTTCTTAAATTGTAGGTCCTGACCCCAAATAGGCCCCCCTAGCTCAGTGTTGGGATCCTCCCCCCCAAAATGGGTAACATTAAAAGGTTTCTGAATGCCACTCATTTAATTAAATCTGTTAGTAGCAATGCACAGTGTTTACAGTGTGCTCTGCAGAAAATGCTCTAGCTCTACTCTGCATAAAGGAAAAGCAGTCTCTCTAGCAGGCCTTGCTAATTTATTATCACTTAATGTTGATTTTTATACCTATTTTCTATACCATATAATCTTAAGTATAAGCTGAATTTTTCAGCCATTTTTAGGCTGAAAAAGCCCCCCTCGGCTCATACTTTAGTCAAAGTTATTATTTATTATTTTACTCAGTTGTTATTATTATTTTTATTACATTTATTATTTTACTCTATTTATTATTATTATTATTGCATTTACATTGTTTTACTCTCTTGTTTTTATTACATTTATAATTTTACTCTTTATTATTACATTTATTATTTTACTCTATTGCATCTATTGTTTTACTCTATTTTTATTATTACATTTATTATTTTCTCTGTTATTATTACATTTATTATTTTCTCTGTTATTTTTACATTTATTATTTTACTCTATTATTATTGCATCTATTATTTTACTCTATTATTATTGCATTTATTATTTTACTCTATTATTACTGTTATTAAAATTCCATTATTTTACTCTATTATTATTATTATTATTATTATTATTACATCTATTATTTTATTACTCTCTTTATTATTATTGGAAGGATACGTAAAGACATTTGCATTGAAGAAGGTTAGAAGAATGGTTTAATCAGAGATGGACAGTCTTATCTTAAATTACAGAATTATGTAAATATTCAATAATATTTAACCTACTGATTCCTCAATTAATGTCATTGTATTGGTATCTATTTTTATTTTGAAATTTACCAGTAGCTGCTGCATTTCCCACCGTTGGCTGATAGTCGAGTCAATACATTTTCCCAGTTTTTTGTGGTAACATTAGGTGCCTCGGCTAATGTTCAGGTTGGCTTATACTCAGGTAAATATGGTACCTATATTTCTGAACTCAACATAAAAATTTATTGAACCGAAAGGGGTCACAAGTGGAAAAAAGTTAAGAATACCTAGTCTAGATTAGTATTTCTACTCAAGAGAAGTCCATTTAGTTTCAGGGGACTCTTGTATAAAAAGGATATTTACAGAGAAAAAAAAATTATCCCCTGTCCCCAAGGTCATGATCTCTCACAGAATGCCTAATGACCTTCTTGTGAAAATCTGGGTTCCAGGGAACCATTGCTGAGATGTCATGGTCTTGATAGTTTAAGTATATGCTAGCAGTAACATAGGATCATAGAATACTAGAGTTGGAAAGAGACCACAAAAGACATCCAGTCCAGTTCCCTGCCAAGCAGGAAGGCACCATCAAAACACTCCCCAAAGATGACCATCCAGGCACTGTTTGTTGACTTCCAGAGAAGGAGACTCCATCACAGTCTGAGGCATTATATCCAACTGTTGAACAGCTCTTATCGCCAGGAAGTTCTTCCTAATCTCTTTTCCTGTGGTCTGAATCCATTGCTTCCTGTCTTGTATCTGGAGCACCAAAAAACAAGCCTGCTCGATCTTCAATCTGACAACCTTTCAAATATTGGAACATGGCTATCATGTCACCTCTTAATCTTGCCTTCTCCAGGTTGAACATACACAGCTTTCTAAGCCAAAGACGAGGAACTTTGTATGTTTCTGTATTCATTTTGCTTAACTTTTGTCAGTTGTATTGAAACCCAGGTTTAGAAAAAGGTGTGCTGTATGTGAATTAGGAACTACAACTTCTTCTGCTTCCACCAGTAGATTCTTATAGTGATTGTGACCATTTGGCTAGCAGTGTTGGTGAGTCAGTGTAGTTTGGTGGTTTGAGCTTTGGAGTGTGACTCTGGAGACCAGGGTCTGAATCTCCGCTTGGCTGTGAAAATGCACCTGGTGGCCTTGGGTAAGTCACACTTTCTCAGCCTGAGGCAACTTCTTTGTGTGTGTCTGGAGAGACTTGAGAAACTACAAGTCGCTTCTGGTGTGAGAGAATTGGCCATCTGCAAGGACGTTGCCCAGGATACGCCCTGATGTTTGATGTTTTGACCACCCTATGGGAGGCTTCTCTCATGTCCCTGCATGAGAAGCTGGAGCTGACAGATGGGAGCTCACCCCGCTCCCTGGATTCGAACCACCAACCTGTCAGCACAAGAGTTTAACCCATTGTGTCACCGGAGGCTCCTCCTGAGGCAACTGCAAACTCTAAACAAATCTTGCCAGGAAGCTCTGTGTGATAACTGTGCCATAAATCAGAAATGACTTGAAGGCACACAGCAACCTCTAAGCATGAGGCATCTCTTTGCATGAAAGGCTTTGGTGGGTATCAGAATCTTTTATCCAGCTTTGATAAACTATTTTTTTTGGCAGGAGGAAGAAGGGTTAGCCGGGTGTGCTTTCGTTGTTTGGATTCAGGTGGTATTTTGCTCACTGGGCGATTTCCCCCTCTCTCCATCCCCGCTCCCCTTCTCTAGGACCCCAATGGTTATGCTTGTCCGGTGCTGAAGCAGGACCATATCATTCCGTGTCTGGTCTTGCTTCGGAGACATTCCTGTGATGGATGGGGTCCTGTGCTGGATTGGGAGTGACAGATGCCATCCTCCTTCCCCTCCTTCCATTCCGGGACAACTCTGTTTTCCCCCGTTATCTCTCCTTGGGCGTCTCTGTGCTCAGGCTCATTGATAAAAATTTGATTCTGCCTCCGTGGCCATATAAGGCTTGGTTTCCCTCCCCGGAGTCCCTGGCTGGGCCTCTTACATTCCTTATAAGCTGCAGCTGTCTCTTGCGTCGGTGCCGTTTTGGAAGGGGGCAGGGAGGACACAGGGAATTGAAAGACTTGGCTGAACAGACTATTCCTTCTCTCTCTCTCTCTCTCTCTGTTCCCAACCAGATCTTCTGCTGGCTTAAGTCATTACTCTCTTCCCAGAAGCCTTAGCCTCCGTTTGCAACAGGGGTAACTGACTAATGCAAGCAATATAGTGCAATCTCTGTAAGGCACTTACTACCTGTGTGACTTTCTTCTAACAAAAGGGTGGGGAGAAAGTTTTCCCATCTCCTTTTCATCAAATTTATTTAGAACAGTGGTTCTCAACCTTCGTAATGCCGAGGCCCCTTAATACAGTTCCTCATGTTGTGGTGACCCCCAACCATAAAATTATTTTCGTTTCTACTTCATAACTGTAATTTTGGGGGAAACAGACCTTGACATTTGGGAGTTGCAGTTGCTGGGATTTATAATTCACCTATAATCAAAGAGTATTCTGAACCCCACCAATGATACAATTGAGCCAAACTTCCAACACAGAAACCCCATGACCAGCAGAAAATACTGGAGGGATTTGGGAGGAATTGACAATGATTTAGGGGAGATGTAAATGACAATGTAAATTGACAAAGATTTAGGGGAGATTCTTTGTTTATTCGTTCACTTGCTTCTGACTCTTCGTGACCTCCTGGATGAGCCCATGCCAAAGGTCCATGTTGGTCATCACCATCCCCAGCTCCTTCAGAGACATGCCAGTCACTTCAAGAATACCATCCATCCATCCATCTTGCCCTTGGTTGACCCCGCTTCCTTTTTCCTTCCATTTTCCCAAGCATCATTGTCTTCTCTAAGCTTTCCTGTCTTCTCAAAGACAGGCCAAAATACTTCATCTTTGCCTCTAATATCCTTCCCTTCAAAAAGAGTCAGGCTTTATTTCCTGAAGTATAGATTGGTTGGATCTTCCAAGGCACTCTCAAAATTTTCCTCCAACACCACAGTTCAAAAGCATCTATCTTCCTTCTCACCAGCTCTCACATCCGTAGGTGACTATGGGGACTACCATTGCTTTAACTATGTGGATCTTCGTTGCCAGTGTGATGTCTCTACTCTTCACTATTTTATTGAGATTGGTCATTTTATTTTATTGAGATTTCTCTCCTCCCAAGAAGTAAACCTTTTCTGATTTCCTGGCTGCAGTCTGCGTCTGCAGTAATCTTTGCACCTAGAAATACAAAGTCTGTCACTGTCTCCACGTTTTCTCCCTCTATTTGCCAGTTATCAATCAGTCCGGTTGCCATAATCTTGGTTTTTTATGTTTAACTGCAATCCAGCTTTTGCACTTTCTTCTTTCACCTTGGTTAGACAGCTCCTCAGCTCCTCCTCACTTTTGGCCATCAAAATGGTATCA